TAAATGATGATAAGCCCTTGAGAGGTGTTTAAGCAGGGGAGTGTCACAATCAGATTTGTATTTTGGTAAGATCACTTGGGCTGCATTGAGGGTAGGTGTTGAGCAGAGGCAAAGGCGAGGGTCACGAATGCCAGTCAGGAGGCTTTGCAGGTGTCTAGGCAAGACAGAATTGTTGGCAGCATGGTTTAGGCAGTCAGCAGTGGAGACAGAGAAGGTGATGGATATTGAGACACCGAGGAAGTAGGTTCACTGGGACTCAGGGACTGATCAGGCTTGGGGATGGGGGAGTGAAGATAACTTTAATCAAAACCTCTGGGGGTACCTGGCTGGCTCAGCTGGTGGAGTGTGCGATTTTTGGGCTTGGGGTTGTGAGTTCGGGCCCCATGTTGGGTGTAGAGATTACCAAAAAATAAAATCTGTACTAAAAAACATGAAAGCTCTGTTCTCATCAGTCTTGTGTGAAAAGTTAGCATTTTCTTTATAGTTTTCATGTTCATGTTAGTGGTTCCTAATTCCTGGAACACCAGGAATTAACTGAAGGTCCTTTCTTTCTTTTTCTTTCTTTCTTTCTTTCTTTCTTTCTTTCTTTCTTTCTTTCTTTCTTTCTTTCTTTCTTTCTTATTTTTACATTTATTTATTTTTGAGAGACAGAGAGAGACAGCGTGAGCAGGGGAGGGGCAGAGAAAGAGGGAGACACAGACTCAGAAGCAGGCTCCAGGCTCTGAGCTGTCAGCACAGAGCCCGATGCGGGGCTCAAACCCATGGACCACGAGATCATGACCTGAGCCCAAGTTGGACGCTTAACTGACTGAGCCACCCAGGCATTCCCCGGTGTCTTAATTTTTTTATGATGAGCTATGATAAAGTGTTTCCATTACCCTTTCCCCCTGTCATTTTCTATCTTGTATTAGCCCCCACATTTTATTGTGGTGATTATCTCTGTTTAGTTAAAAATCCTCTATTTCTATCACCTGGTTTTTCAGCTCTGAGCAAACCTTTGGCTCCTGGTTTGTGTAGGTGATACAGTCAAGGAGCTTATCCACTCACCTTCTTCCTCCTTCCATTTTTGTACTCGTTATATAATTTCTGCCGGGTCTGGGCATACAGCACCCACATTTTGCTCTGTTACGCTAAGCCCCTCCGGTTTTCGTCTCGGTTCTATGGTTAATAAGTATTTGATGCTTCCCGCCAGTTCTTTCCCTAATCACCTTTTGGTTTGCAGTGTGTTCTCCGGTAGTTTCCTCCAGCGGGGCTCATGGGAACGATATTCCTTAAATCCCTGTATGTGCAAAAGCCATTCTCCGAGCTTAGAGATGTTCAGGATTCTGCTTCAGCAGCGTGTTTTTGCTGGTGTTGTCTGAGATTGCTGCTATGGGGTGTTCTACTCTCCTTTCCCTGTGTATACAGTGTGCTCTTGGTTTTGGGGGTAGATTCTCGTGATTCATCGCTTACATACAACACCCGGTGCTCATCCCAACAAGTGCCCTCCTTAATGCCCATGACCCGTTTTCCTCTCTCCCTCGCCCCCCCATAAACCCTCCGTTTGTTCTCTGTATTTAAGAGTCTCTTATGGTTTGCCTCCCTCTCTGTTTGAAACTATTTTTTTCCCCGTCCCTTCCCCCATGGTCTTCTGTTAAGTTTCTCAAGTTCCACATATGAGTGAAAACATATGATATCTGTCCTTCTCTGCCTGACTTATCTCACTCAGCATAATATCCTTCAGTTCCATCCACGTTGTTGCAAATGGCAGGATTTCATTCTTTCTCATTGCCAAGTAGTATCCCATCGTGTATATAAACCACATCTTCTTTATCCGTTCGTCAGTTGATGGACATTTAGGCTCTTTCCATAATTTGGCTATTGTTGAAAGTGCTGCTAGAGACATTGGGGTACATGTGCCCCCTATGAATCAGCATGAAGTTTGCTTTTATTTTCTTGTTCACGTTGTTGATTTTGATCGTAATCAGGAGGCAAAGAGGCAAATTACTGTCTGATGCCACCATGTTTAGACCAGAAACCCTTCAATTATATTTGGGCACCATTCTAGTCTCGCCGCAGAGAATGTGGGATTTGAAGCTAGACACGCCTTCTCAGCTAACCTGTCCTGCTCACTCTCTGACAGTGGACGATCACTTTCTCCCTCAGCCATTAGTATTCTTATCTCTAAAATGGAAATAATGCTCACAACAGTTTCCTATTGTGAGGAGTGAGGCAATATGTATATAATAAGTAGGGACCTAGCAGAGTGCTTTGCGAATAGTGGGTGTTCAAAAGGGCAATAGCACAATATTTCACTGACTTTTCCGCCACAGGTGGCATTCATAATTACTTTCACCTTCTCTGTCTGGATGTCACTCGCTCAGCGTTAATGGTGGATGCTGTCACTGAGGCCACTATGGGGAGACCCTTTGGCTCTCTCCCATTTTTCCCATAGTTCTATTCGCTGGCCGTTAGTGCCAAAAAAGAGGGGCAGATCGATTGCTCAGAAGCCCTGGAGAGAGGATCCCCTCCTCCAAATGGCAGGGGTGAGGGGTGGGATGACACACGAGCAAGGTCTTTCGGGAAAGGCAGGGTTTCTTTGGGGAGAGGTGGGAAGGGCCGGAGCGACACCTGGATTCTGGATACTCCTTGGTCCAGACTCTTGGCGTCAGGGATCGGGG